TGGCCGAGGCTGTAGTCTCCATCACTCTTCAAACCATTCGCGATCTACTTGTTAAAGAAGTTCAATTCTACAGTGGAGTTAGATCCCAGGTAGAGCAAATCCAGCAAGAGCTTCAACTGATGAGATCTTTCTTAAAAGACGCGGATGCACAGCAAGATGCGGATGAACGTCTACAAACGTGGATTGCACAAGTTCGAGAAGCAGCTTATGATATAGAGGATAATATCCTTGTATTTGTTGCTGTCAAAAATGCGTCCAGAAGGTACAGAAACTCGAAAAACTTGTTGAAAAAACTGGGTTGCTTTTTTAGAGAAATTATCACAACTCACAAGGTGGGCTCTCAGATTTCTGATATTAAGAATAAGATAATTAGTCTCACTACGAGTTTACAGACTTATGGGATAAAACCCATAAATAATCAAGGAGAAAATCCGGGATTTGATGGTGCAAGAATGCGGGATCTCAGGAGGTCTTATTCTCATGTTATCGAGGAAGACTTTGTGGGACTACAAGGAGATATTAAAATGTTGGTTGCACATTTGATTGATGAACATAAGGATAGGGTTATTTCAATTTATGGAATGGGAGGTTTGGGGAAGACAACGATAGCTAGAAAAGTGTATGGCAATAGAGATGTTCGACGTCATTTTGATGGATTTGCTTGGAATTGTGTATCCCAACGATGGGATAAAAAGGATATTTTACAAGGGATTTTGATAAAACTGATTCCTGAGAATAGGGATGAGATTTTGGGTATGAGGGATGAGGAATTGGTTAGGAAACTGCATGATGTTCAGTTGAAGAAGAAGTGTCTGGTAGTTCTTGATGATATTTGGTCGATTCAAGCTTGGGATAGCCTTAAGTCGGCTTTTCCAAATACTACTGGTGCAGGTAGCAAAATATTGCTCACGACACGGAATAGAGAAGTTGCTTCTTTTGTGTATCCGAGTGGATTTCTTTATGAGCCCAGGGTTTTGAGCAACGAGGAGAGTTGGGAATTGCTAAGGAAGAAGGCATTTCCAAGAAGACAAGATATCGCCGGTAATTTTATCTTTATTTTTCCTTTGTAAGCAGTTTTTTGTTGTATCTGTTTACAACTTTGAGTTGATACTATTGCTGGTTTAACTCTTTGATCTAGTTTCCAAGTGGGGTGCGCATCTTTGTAACGACTACTCCTAATAAGTTCCTCGAGGTATTATTAGCACATCGGGAACCCTTGAATCAATGGCGAGAATTTCTCAAAGTGCTAAGCTCTCAAACTAATATTTAACCTAGTGATGTTGAACTCGATAAAGTCGTAAGGATCCACCTGTCTTTTCACAACTGTTGTCCGACGCCATGTGTTTCTAATTTAGTTACTTCAGGAGCCATTTAGCTTTTTCTATTAGTCACTCCCATCCATGGAAAGG